CGGTTCAGGTGACCCCGGGACAAAATGGAATTGTTTTCACTGCTGTGTGGAGTCTGCTGATGGGAGGGACCCGGCCGATCAGGCTCAATGTTGTTGTTGAGCATTTCTTGAGCCTGTTGCGACTGGCTGGACTCCCCACCAATCCCCTGATCTAACTCCTGAAGCCGGTCATATTCCAGGAAGAATCGCCTCAAATCACACTGGAGCTCATTACGGATGCTGGCTGGATTGCTCGGGCCAGCGCTACTACCACTGTCCGCCTCAGCCCCTGGGGCCAGAAAGCCCCTCCCTTCTGTTGCAGAGGTATAGACTGATGCCTGGGAACCTCCCTCCTGCTGCCTCAGCACCGACAGCAAGCTCACAGAGGAGGCACTGGTCCTAGGGGGAGGCATGGCTTCCAGCTCTGAGCGAGAGCTCATGTTCAGCACTGTCCTGGACCAGTCAGACCCACCTAAGCCTGAAGCCATCTCTCTCGCAGACTGTTGGTACCGGGACTGGTGGCCTGCCAAGGGCCCGCTGAGGGACCGCCGTGTGGGGCCCAGGCTAAGGTTGCGCAGGGTGTTGCCAGCAGTGCTGCTCTGAACTGTGCTGAAAGCAGAGGGCCTGTTAAGTATCCCCTGCTCCTCCTGCGCTACGGATGCCTGCTCTGGGGGTTGGTAAGGCTCTGTCTGCACAGAGGAGAAGGAAGTGCCAGTGGCCCCAGAAGACGTGGAGGGTGCGTTTTCCTGGTGTGGGAAGAGAGAAGAAGGAAGTCTTGCACTAGAGCATCGGCTGCAAAGGCACAACATCCCCAGGTGCTGGCAGCACTCTGCTGTGGGATAGCTGACACGCTCCCGGAGCCTGTTATAGACAGATGCCCTTGTGTTCTCACTGGCTGGAGGCGGAGGTGGTGGTGGTGGAGGCGGTGGAGGGGATGGGGTAGCAGAGTCTTGAACACTGTTTTGCTCTCCCACCTGTATGCCAGAGGAGCGGGAGGACAACATATGCAGGAAGTTGTGGAGGAGGGGTGTGCGCCTCACAGGCTGAGAAGGAAGGATAGCGCGCTGGCGATAATGTGGCATCTCTGTGCTGTCCACGGAGATTTCCACTTCCTCATCGCTCTGCAGAAGGAAGCAATCAAAGTTCAGTCACCTCACAGCAAAATCCTATACCTCCAAATAAATAGCAGAAAGCCAGCTACCATCCTAGACAGATGAAAGGATGCGGTTAGTCCCTTCCTAGAGGCCTTGACTTGCAGGAAACCAGCTGACCCTTTATTTCAAAGTTCATTTTATGGATCCAGACAACCTCTTCCTACAGCCCAGTAAGCTTTGACAATACACTGTTCATACCAACAGAAGCATCAGCATCTAAGGGTCAGCAGCCATGGGGAGCAATGTTAATACCTCGTGTACCTTCAAATCCAGCAGAATGTCACAACAGAACTGAAAGAGCAGGGCCATTGGGACATCTGTCCCACCGCTAATGAGACAGCAAGGGCAAAAAAAAAACCACACTTTGGAGAGCTCTTTGATAGCACTGCACATAACACAAGAACATTCATGTGACCAATTAAGGTGAGACAGAACTCTGCTTAGAAGTACTTCAGGTTTTCAGAAAAGCCTGAGGCTGCTTAGGAACAGACTAGCATTAATGTATGTAGAGCATCTTGTAATTAGTCAGTCAATACAGGTACTGACATTCCCTTACCTGCTGGTTAGAAGGGTTAACAATTGCTGTGAGCAAGTAATGTCCCAAGGGATCAAACCGGACCAGCCTAAAACAAAAGCAGAGTCAGATTATCAACATCAGTTCACATTCCACATTGACACAGGAAGCTGGACACAGCAGGGAAGAAAATCCCATGTGAAGTATTTGCAGTGAGAACATTACTACATTACCATCATCATCTTCTGAATGATGTCAAAAAGTTTACGCATTAAGAAGAAGAAAACATTCTTATCTAGCTGAAGACTGCAGCTATTTTATAGTCCACAGCAACACTATATAGAAGTTAAAAGCTGGAAGCAAGTATTGCTGTATCAATTGAAATAGCCAGGAAATTTTAAGGAATATGCACATATACATTACAAATTGGAATTTGGTACAAAGGGAGAGATTAGCTTCCCTTGAATGTTATATCATTGTCTTATTTTAAATTGCTTAAAAGAAGGCATCAAGTTTCCAGCAACGCAGTTTCCTCTATAACCGCACCAAAGTAATAGCTCAGCACTCTCTTCCAGCAACTTCTGGGTTCTCTCATTCTTATGGCTGACAAGTTTAATTACTAAGCTTACAGATGAACATGAAGTAGATCTTGGGCGTTTATTGGGCACAGGTCAGATTACAAATATGAACAACCAAGCTGATCTACTATTTCCCATTGCTTTTTTTCCTGTGCACAGAACCGTTTTTCTACCAGCTAGGTCAAGGAACTGCAAGCAATGCTTCTCTCTGCTGCCTCAGTGCAGAGGGTGCAGCGTCCCACAGGAACCCCCCACATTCCCCAGATGTGACCATTTTTCACATACAAGTGTTCTCTTCCCCCAGAAGCAAGAACTCACCTGACTCGCTCCATTTCACTGGCTGTTTTCACCACTGCAAAAGGTTCCCGACGACTCCAGTCCCAGAAATGTATCTCATTGGCAGTTGCAATCAGCAAGAGCTGAGCCGTAGGATGAAAAGCAAGCGATGCAATGGCATTGTTGCTATCTGTGAACCAGCTCTCACTTCCACCCTGAGTGAGGAGTCAAGAATCACAAGCAGTTTATCACAAAGTTTGAGATCATTAGATTTCCATGTACGTGCCATCTCTTCAAAACTCTGTCTAGAGCATGGCAGTGACATGCTTTCTTGGCAACAACAACAGCTGCTCTCATATGAGGTCATGTGTCATGTCTAGAATATAACACTACTTGCAGCAATGACCATAGATGTATTTTTGCAGGTTAAGTGTGTCTCAAGCAGCCTGTAAAAGTGCTGCATTTCAAAGCGACCAGGTAAGTTTAAGTGTTCTGTCTCTGTGCCAATCACCAGACTAGGTAGAACTGGCAGAGCAGCAGCTTCTCTAATGAGGAGTTCAGATAGGCTCAGTGGAATGAAAAATGGCACGTCTTTCACACAAGCTAAACAGGCACCTTGCACAAAGTTCTCCAGCATTATCTGTACCACTCTAATCAAATAAAACAGGCATGGCTAAGGAGCATGACCTACCTGGCAGGACTGAACGAAGAATCTGTCGCCTCCTCTCTAGACAGAAGAGGATGGCTATGATCTGTTCTATGCTTTTAGAGACAGGTCCCAGCAAAGCTTCCAAACAGCTCTCTTACCAGGCAACATTTGGGAAAAACTCAGACAAAAAAAGTCACCACCCACCAAACACCAAAGGCACATATGTTTCAGGAAAGACTTACGTGTAAATCCCAAATTCTAACCTCCCCATCTAGACATCCTGAAGCAATGAGGCCCGGGATGGTGGGATGGAAGGTGACACACCAGGGAGTGCGGCGATGTCCAACCAAGGAATGAACACACTTGCCCGTTTTCACCTCTGTGATGTAGATATTGTGGTTCACATGTGTGGAAGCCATTAGGGTCCTGGGAATGCAGAAGATAGGACAAACATTAGCATGAGAAGAATACAGCAAAACCAGACCATGGTTAGCTTCATCTCAACAGGGTCTGTTCACACCTAACCCAGCAGCTCTCCCACACAGAGCTCAAAGGGTAAGAGGCTACTGTTGCACCAATGGCCACAAAGCTTCCTGTAGCCAGATTTCAGGGTCCATGCAAACATGAGCTCATCCGATCTGCAAGCACAAACCTGACCTTGAAAGTCAGAGTGAACATGCAGCTCAGAAGGAACTCCTGAGTGACAGTTCGGGGCAAAGAAATATTCCCAATTCTCCACACCATCTCAACCACTGTCAAATCAAGTGACACTAAGAGAGATCCCACCTCCATTTCTGCTTCCAATAAACGCATCATTCTGCTCTGTTCTTTAGTCCTAGATATCCCAGTGGGTGTGCCACATCACTTGGCATGTTGTGCTAAAACACCCTTTACTCCCTTCAAGTTTCTTCTGAAATCCCACGGTGGCCGCACAGATCCTTTTTTCTTAGAACTATGCATCGCTTGGGTACCTCAGAAATTAAACACCAACTATGCTTGAAGCTGTGAGATTAGGAAGGTGCGCACGTTCCATCCATGCATGTCAGGAACCAGAAGTTTCACTCGGCTATTCAGGACTGGACAACTCAACGGGCACAAGCCTCCATCACTTTTGTAAGTGTAAGGAGACTGCTGAAACAGGGAACGAACTAGGAGTTAATTACCTGTCTGGACTAAACGCCAGCAAGAAGGTGGAGCGTGGACTGTCTGGTAACTCAACTTTCTGAAAAAGCCAACAAAGCAGGAAGTGTTGCAAGTGTCATATGATCATACTTTTAACTGTAAGCCACACAGACAACAAGGGGAACCCGCTGCAGGAACGTATCTAGTATCACATCACTGCAGGAACTGAACAGAGCCAGAGAGCATATCAAGTGTAACACATCAAATGTACAATCATGAGACAATTTATTTCAAATCCCTACCTCCCTTCCCCCACTCCAAGATCACTATGCACCTCTATCCCACAACCTTACCTTGCCCTCCCATTTCATCCATCGAGTTTTATCCTCCACCAACTCCTGCAGGAGCCGCTGAGCACCCAAGGCTTGGGTACCCCGTTCCCTACCCCACAGGATGCGGACAGCATTCTTCTCTGGTACAACCTTCATGGCTCTCAGCAGCCAACGTTACACCAACTACTCGGAGGAGACACCAGCAGGTTCCAGATGACAACCACCACCAAACTACAAATAGGCTATCCACATTTCAATTGTTTATCTTCATGGAAACCTAGAAAGAGAAGAGAATGATAAGGCAGGCAGCTTTTACCTTGATCACCTAGATGAAATAAGAGCTTTAAATCTCAAAAGACTAGATTGAAGAGAAAAATCTATCCTCTCCCGCAGCCTTTGCTACCTTCCTCCATTACCAAGGCCCAATTTTGACATTTCTGCAGCCAAAGATTACTTTGAAAGGTTTTTGAAGCATCCAGCCCTTTCCTTGTACACATGCCCTAGGCATACCACACCTAAAGAGAATAAAAAATTGGCCTT